TGTTTGTTTAATATCTCTGCTTTAATTGCACAATTGCTAGACTACTTTTTCTTTTGTAATCTTGAACCAGTTTGTTGATGCAGATATGATGAGATCATTTTATAAATTGTGTGTTTGTGAGCTTCGAAATCGATTTGGTAAATGTGTTTTTCTTTCTCATGGTGTATGATCTAGAGTTGAAATGATGAGGAATTTTGGTAGATGGGTTCTTTAGTTTGTTGATGCAGAATTGAGAACATTTACAAATTGTGTTTTTGTGAGCTTCGAAATCGATGTGGTAATCTAGAGTTGAAATGATAAAGAATTTTGGTAGATGGGTTCTTAAGTTTTATAGTTCAAGTATTTTTTTTTTGTAAGAGATGGCTCTTGAATTCATTTCTTAGGTTACTTGGTTTGTAATTTGTAGTCTCTTTGGATTTTTAAACAAAAACCAGAAGTTGAAAGAAGATAGAGAAAGGATAATGAAAAACTACAATCTTTATTAGTATATATGGAATCAAAATCTACGTGTTTGCCTCTATGAAACTAGAAGAAGACGAAGTCAATTTTTACATCTTAGTGCTCATGTGACATTCTTGATTCTGCACTTTCATGGAAGGGAAGTCCATGGTGATTTTACAATCCGATATAGCAACTAAGTGTTTGGTGAAGATTCCTAACAGCTTGATTTTCCCGGGGATGTTTGTCTTTGTTTCCAACACAATCTTTCCACCCAATATATCTTGCATAAGGCCACTTAAGTCAGCAACAAACTTGTCGATCTGAAGAGTAAGACGAGCAGGTAGAATCGATGAACCTTTAGCCGGGAAAGTACCCGCGGGAAGATCAACATCACCAACTTGCTTCTCCCTGTATAAAACCAACGTCTTCCCGGTCTCGTGTTTGAAACTCAAACTGTTGCGATTTTCGACCTGAATCTGGAGACTAAGCGTGAAATTGAGATGGACATCAAAAGGTAAAGATACACGCGAGTTGACGCCTTGCACGGTAGCTGATTGGATCCGAATTATCGGCTTTTTCGGTTTGTAAACAGTCAATGCCAAGATTAAGGCAACGAGAAAGATGAGGAAGAGAATGATTAAGATGATACCAGAAACTATGCAGCAAACTCGCCCTTTCGATTTACGCACAAGCTCAGTCATGACAAACTATAATGGTTTTGTGTTGTATAATTGGAAGAACTTGAAGTCATTTATGGATTTTAGATCAAGTA